ATAACTTATAAGATATATAATGAATGATTCAATCCCAAATAGAATGTAGAAGCACATGCCTATTGCTCCATAAACCCACATTTACGGTTTCAAGCTATTCAAATGACCCATATGGACAAGTTTCATCATGTAAATCGGAATGGCTCCAAACATTGGTATACCTTATAAGATATATAATTAATAATTTCAAGTCCAAATGGAGTGAATAAACTCATGCCTATAGCTCCCAAAACCCACATGTACGGTTTCAAGCTATCCAAAATGGCCCATATAGACAATTCTCATCTCGTAAATCGTAATGGCACCAAACTTTGCTATAACTTATAAGATATTAATGATTTCAAGCCTAAATGGAGTGAATAAACACATGCCTATGGCTCCGTAAACCCACATGTATAGTTTCAAGCTATAGTAATGGTCCATGTGGACAAGTCTCATCTCGTACATCAGAATGGCTCCAAACCTTGGCAAAATTTATATGGATATATCATGAGTGATTTGAAGTCCAAATGGAGTGAACAAACACATGCTTATGGCTCTGTACACCCACATGTACAGGTTCAAGATATACTAATGGCCCATATGGACAAGTCTCATCTCGTACATCAGAATGGCTCTAAACCTTGGAAACATTTATAAGGGATAAAATGAATGATTTCCAGCCCAAATGGAGTTAACAAAGACATTTCTATGGCTCCGTAAACCCACATGTACGGTTTCAAGCTATACTAATGGCCCTATGGACAAGTCTTATCTCGTACATCAGAATAGCTCCAAAACTTGGTATGAGTTATAAGATATATAATGAATTATTTCAAGCCCAAATGGAGTGAACAAACACATGCATGTGGCTCCGTAACCCCACATGTATGGTTTCAAGCTATCCTAATGGCCCATTTGGACAAGTCTCATCTCGTACATCGGAAATGCTCCTAACCTTGGTATAACTCATAAGATATATAATGAATGATTTCAAGCTCAAATGGCGTTAACAATCACATGTCTATGGCTTCGTAAACCCACATGTACGGTTTCAAGCTATATTAATGGCCTATACGGACAAGTCTCATCTCGTACATCGGAATGGTTTCAAACCTTAGTTAACTTATAAGATATATTATGAATGATTTGAACCCCAAATGGAGTGTAGAAGCACATGCCTATTGCTCCGTAAACCCACGTGTACGGTTTCAAGCTATCCAAATGGCCCATATGGACAAGTCTCATCTTGTAAATCGGAATGGTTACAAACATTCGTATACCTTATAAGATATATAATTAATGATTTCAAGTCCAAATGGAGTGAATAAACTCATGCCTATGGCTCCATAAATCCACATGTACGTTTTCAAGCTATCCAAATGGCCCATATCGACAAGTCTTATCTCAGAAATCGTAATGGCTCCAAACTTTGGTATAACCTATAAGATATATAAGATAAGTGTAATGTAATATATTAGATGATGTACTTAATTTTTTTAATATGATTAATAAGGGAAATGACATTTAAAATCGTGTTGCTAAACGTAGCTTGATTTTACTTCATGCAACTTGTAAATTAAACTAAAATACTCTTATGAAGTTGCACGAAGTAAAATCAAGATGTAAAAAATAAAATCAAGTTGCATTTATCAATACCCGTTTTGTAGACTTCACTTTTCAAAATTCCATGTTCGTTGTCTTCTTGCTCTAAATCGAGCAACAAAATTGGAATCACACATGTAGTCAAACAATAATCTAGGGGACAAAATCTAATGAATCCTTGCATTGGATATTTACTAAAGAGGAAATCTGAGCCATTTGTTCTCCATAACACCAAAGTCGCGGATCACACCAAAAAAACGAAGAAAAAAAAACGAATGGCACCAAAAGGAAAAAATGATTAATATTTAGCCAAAACAATAAATACCGATCATACTAAAGTAAAAAAATTTAGCCTAGAAGATTTCACAAAAAAAATTAATTTAAAACCAAAAATAAAAAATAAAAACAAAAAGCTCATAGCACCAAACCAGCCCGATCACACCAAAAACAAAAAGTAACGATCACACCAAAAAAAAAGTCAAAAATTCGCCCAAAAATCACCTTGTTTTCTCCTCTTTCTCGTGTTTTCTAGTTCTCTGCCATTAAAACCATCAATGATCGGTGAATTTTTCACTGCATATTGTAACAATATGTGTAAAGTTGTAAAAAGAGATGATCTTATAAAATAATATGAGAGGGTTCGGGGTTCAGGGGCATTTTAGTCTATTTCACAACCTGCGCGATTAAAATTAAGTTACGTTTAACAATTCACATTTTGAAATTTTAGGGAAACAATTTTTTAGGTCAAAATTCAATGTTTTCAAATGGAATAGTAAGCAATGAAATTTGAAGTTTTTTAGGATGGTACTTAAAATTGATTTTTGGTCTTTATTTTCCAATTTTAATGAATCCCATGTTTTGTGTAAATCATTAATTAGTTAATGCATTTGAATTCAAAATTAACAAAAATAATGTATTCGTCTGAACCGAATATGAGGAAAATTCTTATTAATTAAATATGGTATTTGTATGTTTATCAATCCTTCTTATTTTTACACAGATTAATTGGAGTTGTAGCATGCATTCATTACATTGAGGTTTTCCATACAGTTAGTTTATTTTTCAGGGAGTTAGGCCATAAATTTTAAAGATTAGTTTTCAGAATTTTTTAAACTTTTGCATGTAGAATTTTATCTTAAGTGTCGTTGTAGGAATAACTTTTAGTTTCACTTTGTGGTTTCAATAGTATAGATAGATACAGCGAGATCATCTATTTAGAGGAATTTACAATTTTGGTTGTTGATTATTTGAACATGTGTCGTTTGTTGCATCTCATGGTTTTTAAATTGGAAGAAAATATTCTCTTTAGTTTAGAAAAATAATTCACATAATAGTTTATAAATTGTGTTAAAAATAATGCAATTTATAAATTGTAATTAAGATTACTAGTGTTTACCCTTACGTTGCACGACAAAACATTCGAAGGATGTAAAATGTGTTCGGTAGGGAGGAGAATGAAGTCTGTTTATTAAATACTAATAAATTTAATGGAGTTTAGTAATCATTATAAACATGATCAAATTCAAAATTTGAAGAAAAAATTTAGTGGAGTTTAACTATTGAGTTTTTTAAAAAAAAAAATTGAAAAGTTTTAATTAATAACATATTCACTAAATATTATTAAACTATTAAATATAGTAAAGCTTTTTAGATATATTAGTAAATCACAGCCTATTTTAAACAAAAATTAAAAGATCTTTTTAGAAAATAATTCCAATAATTTTTACCCTCTCATTTTACGCATGACCAATCTCTTACTGGATATCATATTGTTTTTTTTTTTTTGTGGGAAAAATCACAATTATTTGGAGAAATCTCTTAATTATCTTTAGATTTTTTGTTAAGAAATCTCTTAACCAAATATTGAAATTTTTTTATCCTAAGTCAAAACGTAAAATTGTTAATACATAATGGTAATATCTATTTTTTTACATCAACTTAATTAAGATTCTCAATTTCGTGACACATCAGCGTTTTTTATCCTCAATTTCGTGATATATATATATATATTAGGTTCTCTCCCGTGCGTTGCACAGAATATATTAAAATGATTATTAGTTGTGAAGAAAATACAATGTACTCGATTAATGGTTGATTATAAAATAGAAAAACGGATAATACAAGGAATAAGTGAACAATAAAAAATGAGGTAAAAAAAAGACAGTGTGAAAATTAAGTGGTATTAGTATTATTATAATTTAAATTTTTTTGAGCTTAAATATAAGAAAATTTTATCTCTTGAATTTTTTTTCGTAGTTTTATCCCTTAAATTTTAACATTTTTTTTAATAAGATGGATATTACAATGATTGATTTTCAATATAAGAACAATGCCTTGGATTTTCTCGTTATTTTACTTGCAAAATTTCAATTTTTTTTTAAAAAAAGATTGGCATTAGAGTGATTCAATTTGATTGTAAAAATATATTTCATTTGTTTTTTTCTTAATTTTACCCGTGAAATTTTAATAATTATTTTTATCATATACGACACGATTTTTTCTGAAAATAAAATATTAATTTGAACATACATAATTAAAATTTCTCTATTTGAAAATAGAATAAGCTGATTTTTATGGAGAAAAGATTTCTTTCAGTAAACCAACTTCTTTTTTGATTAAGAGATCATTCGGAATTAATACATATTAATGGTATGATTATGATAGTTTTATATTTTTTTACAAAACGACGTCATTTTGGTTGAGAGGGAAACGGATACACGAGAGCGTGATACATAAGTTTTTTTTTTCTCTTGAATTATTGTTTTAAAAGTATACATAGATAGATTCAGATTTTTTAGGCGGAGGGAGTAATTGGTTCTGGCAATTGCATTGAAGTACTGCAGTTTTAGGCAAAATATATAAAAAAAAGACTATGCAAGTACTACTTGGGAAAGTGAATTTTGAGTGAGTGGAAACATCTAGGAAATTTCTATGGCTATTGTGATTATATGCAATCTTTATTATGACTCTTTCGCTTTTCAATTACGTCTGACCTTTTATGATGACTTCAGAAATTTTTATATGGTTTCAGTAGGATTTATAACATTGACAATTCGTTTACGCGAATTTAGTGACATATACATATTCTAAGCTGGTGGATGAAAATGTTTTGGAGTTGGACTTGGGAGAAAAGGGTTTCTTAACAAATTGATTTCAGTTTCCAATATTAATTTATTTATGACGTAGGTCATAACCATGTGGTGGTCCTAAAAGGACTGAAGTTGCATTTTCTCTCCTCTCCAAACTGACTTTAAATTGATCCAGTCATAGCGAGAACCAATTGGTCGGCGGCAAGAATCGGATTTCAGTAATAGAAAAGAAAAGAAAAAGATAGCAAATAATTACATCATCGCCCGCAAATAATTGTCCATTCATTTTGAGATGAAGGGGAGTATAGACTTTTTTTTTTTTTTTTTGGGAGAAGGGGAGTATAGACTTTGAATAACAAGCAGAGTACAAATAAGTGAAACTGAGGAGAACAAAATCCACCAGATACTATCTGCAGCAACTGAGGTTACTCAACACAATTACTTGTAGTTTCAGTTGATACTGGAATCCTCCGATTGCAAGCAACACCAACTGTAATAGAGCCTCAATATCTATCCACAGAACATATGTATAATCGAGAGAAAAGGGTGTAAATGGAGACAGAATAAAGGTGCAAATAACTGGAATCGGTTTGGTTACTTTCAATCCAGTTTCAAAAAGAGAGATGCACAACATACCAAGATAACTTACAACATTGAACTACCTTCCTCTGCTTATTGCATATATACAACTAATATAAGCAGGTCGCAGAACAATTAAAATCATAACCGCAGATGATATAAACCATAACTGAGTTCATGGCTACATTTGGTTCATACTAATGCTCCAGCCTGAGCCTGATATAAGATGAGATGCTGCCTAGCTTTGGCAAATAGATCGCATAAATCTGGATACTGACCAAGAGTATGGCGGGTATCACCATCGAAAACGCTCAATACTTGAGCTTGTTCAAAAGCCTTGTTATCACCGGCGTGTATTGCAAGGTAGCACAATAGAAGAAGCACATGGAATTGGCTTCCCTTATTTGCCCTCAGCAATTCAACAAGCTTCGCAACCCCGTCAAACTCTGCAACAGCTTTCGAGTGCTCAAAACAGTTAAAATTATCTGGACGTACAAACTTGCCGAGAGCAAGTGCCACTTCCCTTACAACCTCACCATTCCCATTACCAAGCAGAGCAACCAAGGGCTCAATTATCCTTGCCTCCTTTGCGGGAAATGTTCTCGCCAAACACCCAATTGCCCTAATAGCTGGAATCAACAAATGAGGGTCCTTATCTTCATTGATCACCCTTAGAAGCTGATCCAAAACTGCCTTTGCAACAGGAGAGTTTGGTTTAAAAGCCGTACGTCTAAGCTCACCATTATACTCAGCCACAGCGGCCAACTCCATCACTGTCATAAGACAATTAATTTGTAACACCCCCTTTTCCTTCTCAATAATCTTCGCCAAAACAAGCAACCCTTTAGTCTCCATGATCTTTTTACCATTTAACAAGCTTCCTTTAACCAATTTCCATAATGCCATAGCACAATTCTCTTTAAGCTTAAGTTTTACCTCGGGTGATTCCATTTCCCTCTCCCTCTCTTTATCCCATCGATTCCCGTAATTTAAACTCTTACTATTACCATAAACGCTACCACTCACATTTCTAGTAATTTGCCGATTCATCAAAACAACAGAATGCATACTGTTAGTCCTTTTGGGCTCTTCCTTCTTAACCTCATCCTCAGAATCCATTCCCAAAAGTGTAACTAGCGGCCTAACCACATTCTGCCTTCCAAATTCCTCTTTAACAACATCATCAAACTCTGCCATTCCCCAAATTAAACTGACCAATTCCACCAAAACGCTCATAGGAGGCATCTCAAAAAGCAACTTGACAATGGTGGATACCCCATGGTTATCATTATTAGCAATCAATCTAACTCTATCCCGAGAATTTCCCAAATTAAACAAGGCTGTGGCAGCAGCAATTTGTGCTTCACCGGTAACACTTTCCTTCAGCAATTTAAGCAAAGGTCCAATCCCATTTTCATCTATAATAATCTTCTTATTCCTATCATTAATCAAAGCTATAGCTGCCAATTCTTGTGCAGCATCAGTCCTTTCCTTCATGGAACCCATATGTAAAACAACAATATAAGACCAAACCCATGCCAGAATAGGATCATTACAAGCCATAGGAGGGAGAGAAATATTAAACGAACCCGAATTGAAATCATACACAGCATGCAGCCATTTGAGGTCAGCGATGGAAGTCTTCAAAAGGATCGAAACCTTGTCGACATCAGCCGAGGTAGAAATCGAGAACATGCTCCGAATCACGTTCTTAGCCGACTTCCGATGTTTACATCTCCGAGTCAATGTGAAAGCTCGCTGCAAAGTCTTCGACAAATCAAAGGTAACACGGCGAAACGGGCGGTCATAAAAGGCGGCTGCCGGGATTGTGGTAGCTAGTCTAGCTAAAGAAACCAGCAGCTCGATGAGTTGATGGAGGAGAAGGGATAGCTCAGTACATTCCGATTTGGAAGATTCAGCTTCTTTAGCGGATTTCACGATCCGATTGGAAAGGAGGATTTGAAGGGAAAGTTGCTGTTGGATGGATATTTCTTGTTCATCAGCCATGGAAACAGAGAAATGGAAAAGGGAAAGTTTATCTGAGTCAAGGAGGAATCTTTTTATCTCCCTTTGTCAATTTATTAATATATATCGGAGTAATTAATGCCACAAAACACAGAATTTTTGTTTCAGATTGTGTTTTTGTATTGGGAACTGCAGATTGAGCATAATACTGCCAGATTCCTTTTTCTATACTAGAAAATTGAGATAATTATGGGTGAAGAATACAGGGCCAAGAGGAGCTAGTAGACAGTGAGATTATAAGTAATCTCACTGTTCCAAAATAAGTGTCGTTTTGACAAAATGGAAAAATTTCAAAATAAATGTAGTTTTTGGATTCCAATACATTTTTTGTCAAAAATTTCCAAACATACCCTCAAAAGAAATAATATTATTGGTGAACATTTATTTTAATTGGGTTGGTTGAGGATATTCTAGTAATTTAGTTACTTTATTTAATGTTTTCTTAAACTGTGTGAAAACTCTAGAATGACACTTATTTTAGAACGGAGTCAATAATTCTTTTCATTTCTTAGGGTTGATGACTTTGAAGTGACAAATTGAGTTGACTTCAATTTCAGCTGTGTGAATATATTTAATTGTAGCATTATATAAACAAAAACATACACTGGAATAATTAATTAATTAATGATGAAGAAATGTTCAAACAACAAATGTACAATGTGAAAGAGGATAGATTCATGTGAACACTTGAAAGTTGAAAACGGGGGGGACTGTGGGCCCATGATGTGGTAGGATAAATGCCTCAGATTTTATATTAGTTAAATACAAAAAGAAGTTTTAAGTTTTTTTTTAAAAAAAAAGGCAAAAAGAAGCTTATTAAAGATATTATAAACAAATTTTAAGGAATTTACCCCACAAAATGACAAAAGTGTCCAATTTGTGTATTTGTAAACCATGAGGGCCTGAGAATATTTAAGGCAATGTTACGATTCCTTCAGATTTTTGAATGATTTTGTAAAGTTCTCTAATCTGCACAGTTATTTTGCTCATGTGGATTCATGACATATTGTGATAGGTTTAAGGAAGATTTGGAAAATACAATAAAAAGGTTATAGTTGTCAATCAATACTTAATGGTGATTCATATAGTGAAGATATTTATTTTTTCCAAGATTCGTTAACGAGTAATTGACACATTGATTATTATAGGTGAAAATCGCTATAACTTTTCTCTACTTTTATTGTCGATGGTATGAATATTGTTGCAAAAGATTTTGTAATTCTTCCATGTATATTCTGGGAAATTAGGTAAATAAATGTTATTAGCTTACCTCCCTTTTAAATAAAGCTAAATATACACGTTAACTGTCCTATTTAAATCATTCATTTTGATATGTTGCTCGCTCTAATATTAATAATTAAATTTAATAGGAAGCAATGAGTAGTTTGAACCAGACTACTTAATAGTTGCCCCCAAATAAATGTCGGGTCAATAATTTAAAGCGGTATTGAGAAGGAAAAATCGACTGGCAATATTCTAAACGTGATAATCATGTAGCCTATGTTGCCATATTACGTCTACATTTTTGTGCACACAATAAATTTCTAGCCACATCAAAAACGTCTTTTTTTATCTTGGCAACACGTTTTGATATCTTCCACCGTCAGTTACAAATATACAAAAGTTTATTAATACATCTTCGTTTCGAGGAAAAAAAAAGCCATTAATTAACCTGCAGGTGCATACCCAAATGAACCTCCCATCAAAAGTCGCAGCTTTTTTGGTGTCAAAAATTCCTAGCGCTGATTGATCATGTGATTATACCCTGCTGTTTGGTGTCATGCCTTAATTCATTCGGATTGCAGATTTTCCTGGAACCAGAGTTTAATCTTGATTCTTGATTAAGTACTTACTGAAACATGGGAATGTACGTAAAGGAATTGTTGCTATCACAAAGGGGTTTGATAGGTTTTTTTTTTTTTTTTTTTCTATTAGAAATTGGAACGCATATTGACGAGTTCATATTCGCCATCAATATTGGACCGGCCCATCCACTAGCTACAAGTCCAACCAACTTTGACTAAGGCGGTTCAGCAATAAGCCACTTAGTAGGATTCAAACATCCTTGAAGGTAATTCCATACATATAAATAGGATTGATCATACCACAATTTAGGTACGCTTTCTCTATCACCGATTTGCACATATACACTTATTCACAATCCTATGTCTGACTTAAGTATCATAGCGTCTATCCTCAGGAGACTCCCAAGACCCTCTTTTGTAGGAAACCCTACCGTAATTCCACTGTTAAGCAGGTAATACAATTCCAGACTTCGTCAAGTGGCACGTCCAGTAGAACCCGAAAATTAGGGCTTGTGTCACAAGCTTTCTCAAGCTTCCGAAACTTTCCCCAAAAATAGATGGCTGTAGTTGGCGTGTCCCAAGCCAGCACACGTCAACTGGCAGGCGGCGAAGCCCCGACAAAAACGAAACCTTGGCCAAGTTGCAAGAACAACATAAGCGGAAAAGAGCAACCGTTAGCCGAGGAAAGAAAAAACTCCTATCCAACCGTGTAATCCTGCTGACGAGAGGGTGGAGAGGCCTAGCAAACATGACAAGGCACATAATCCCCGGGATGAGGAACGGTTGGCTGAAATCGAAGCAAAAATTAATAAATTACAAGATGATAACACTCTGAATCAAAGGAACAAAAAGTATGTGTTGGAGGAATACCGATGTCGTTGTTTGCTCGGCCGACATGATCCAACAGAGCAGGAGTTAAAAGAAATAATTGAGGAGAAAGAAGCACACCGAACGTTGGCCTTGCTCGAGAAGAAAAGTGGCAAACACAAGGTTTTGGACGAGGAAGGCGACCATGAAGAACATTCAATTGCTCGTAGCATAACCTTCTGGGATTCGTTTGGAAAAGCGTATCCCGCATTCGAGATAGTGCTTGAGGAGTTTGCCAGGGAATATCAATGCAAGAAGCAATCTCACAAGCAGCGCTGCCAGGGCTCACCAGCATCGAGTTTGTATCCAAAAAAGATTGGAACCCCCCACCAAGAGCTAATGTGCACTCTCGACTGGGACCTAAAGTTCCCGCGGAAAGGTCCCCCCATGGTAATGATGATACATATCGAGTACTACCGCGAGGTACAGGTTATCCTTGAGGAGGCCATTACCTAGATGATCATTATCAGCCGCAAGAATCTTCTCACCCTCGACAGACGGAGTGGCATCCTCGAGAAGAACCATATCTCCATCGATTCTTAAGGAGAATATGGTAACTAAAACCTGTCCATTCGAGAATTAATGAGGCGAATGATCGGAATGATAGTCAACAAAAGTCCGTTCATGCCAGAAATTCATGATTGCCCAAAACCTCAGGACTTGGACTTCCCCAATGATTTTGTTAAATACTCTGGAGATTCTTACCCGCAATAATTCCTGCACGAATACGTCCAAGTCATGAGAATTAGGAATGCTTCACTTAACTTCATGGCTAAAGCCCTTCCTTCAACATAACAAGCTTCGAGGACCTATCTGTTAACCTAGCTACACGTTTCTTTCTTAGTAAGCAAATCACAAGAATGTCTATCGACCTTTCTTCAATCAAACAAGGTCAAAACGAGAGTCTCTCTGATTTTCACCGATGTTTCATCCGGAAAACTCTCCAATTTGATTTACCTCGATGATAGAGACGTAAGGAACGGATTCATTCAAGGCCTCAATCTATTTGGAAAATCTGCTATTCTAAGAGTAAAATTGTCTACCAAGCCTCCTCACAATACTCTGGAGATGTGGGCCATAGTTGAAAGCTACATCCATCGAGAACAAACATTTAACCGCTCACAAGAATCCTTCTCGATATCAGGAGACCGAGGCAGGAGAGATAGACCCAAATCTACGACAGAAACTAAGTCGACATTACCTGAGTTCGACAAACAATTGACTTCACTCCTGAAGCCCCGGCGAGAAATCCTCCAAATTCATAAAGACAAGCTCCCTACTCCAAAACCTCTAGCTCCTAATCCCAACAGCCTATGGATTAGTACTACAAGTATCATATCATGGCCACGACATTGAAGATTGCAGGGAGTTGAAACGTGAGATCGAAGCTGGAGTAAAGTCAAGAAAATTCTAACAGTATATACATGGCACTACTCGACAAAAAGGTGGAAAGTTCGCAGATCTATAACTTTCCCAAGCAAAACATTAGGGGCCTTCAAGGAGATAATCGTGGGAATAATTGGCAACCAAGGAACAATGCGCATCAATCTACTCAGCAACCACTCGACGGGGGACCTCAACCACTCTAGCAAATTCCTCCACTAGATCCCGCTAAGCAGATCACTCACAATGTGGGGGCCATCTATGGTGCGCCTCTCAAGGTTCTCTCTACTACAGTTATGAAGGCATCGATTCGAGAAGTAACTGAAACTCCCCCTCAGGAACCTAGCCATAAACTATTCAAATGAACTGATGCAATAGTTTTCACCGACAGCGACGTAGACCCATGCATTTGTCCACAAAGTGATGTCATGGTCATTGAGGCTATCATAGGAAACGTGATGAGAATCATATAGCCTTCCACGGTGGTTCTACTAGTGAGGGGAATGAGCTAGTCGTTCATTCTAGTTTTGGGATGCCAAGTTTACTTTGTAGGCCAATCAAGGAAGAAAGGATGGATCTTGACTACCTATGTGATAGGGAGTTGGTTCAAGAGAGCTGTGATCAAGATGATGAGAATGTCAATAACTTTGGGGTTCAAAACAAAGCAGATGATTCACTCATGGAAATAAGTGCTCAAGAGTATCAAGGGAGTTTGACTCTAGGTGCTCCATGAAGATCATTGATCAAGCTAGAAAGAAGAATCATTTAGGTTCTTGAATGGATGGCCTATTTGATCAAAGTGTTCAAGATTGAGTCCATTGCTACACAATTGGATAGTGTGCAAACTATCTCAATTGTTTCAAGTGTTTTTCCATTCTTTTGGAGTCAATAAAGAGAATTCTATGAGTTTTGGAGTAAATTAGAGTTATCTATAACTTGAGGGGCGCAAGACCCATATTCTACCTTTTGGAAGGGCGTTCAAGACATTTTACTTCAACAATTGTTGCTGAATTTCGAGATTAGAGTTGTCTAAGTTTAGGAGTTTAATTTTTCAAGTTTATCTAGTTAAGGTAAGCCATATTGTCTGAATTAAGCTAGAGTGTTTTGTTTAGGAGTCTTAGATTCCTTCTAAGTATTATCCTATTTGAGGATAAGTCATTT